TTAAATTTAAAAATTTTTTTAAAAAGAAGAACATTAAGAAACAGTAAATTACTGAGAAGCAGTTAAGATGGTATCTATAAAAAGGATATCGAGTAAAGAATGTCAACTTTGGCAGTAACTCTCCTTCATGGTCAGTTCTATCTGACTCCAATGAAAGGTCTAGTTGAAGTCTAAAGTGCAGTCACAGTTATAAAATGCATAGTGCAGACTAGTCTGTCATCCTAAAAACAAACTCCACTGTCTTCACCCAAACATGAACCATCCTGTTGCAGGGAAAGGAGGAAAAGAATGAGCTGAATTTGTTGTTGCTTTATTTGTTGGCCTAAATGGTAAAATACTAAGGACTTAAGACTCACTCCAGGACTGGTGACTCTGTGGACTTGAATGCACTTAATGTGCAGCCACTGTCCCTTTAAACAGCTCTCTAGTGCACAAGGAAGGAGAACTCTAATCTATGGAAATGGGGTTCCTAGATATGGTTCATCATATAAGTGTTTATAGCTCCTTATGCCACCAGGAATTACAAGGTTCACAATGCTACTTTGAAAATTGGCTTTAAAAAAAAAAACTATTCAGTGCACACTCACTATATGTTAAGATTATTTAATTGCTTTACATGTACTAACTTACCTAATCTTCACAATAACCATACGTGGTAAGGCAAATGCTAGTTTTACCCCCAACTCAAAAAGGCAACTGAAACAAAGAGAAGCTGAAGAATCTTCCCAACTACAGCCACAATATAAAGCAGCATGGAGGTTCTTCAAAAAATTAAAAATAGAACCACCATATGATCTTGCAATTCCACTTCTGGGGATATATGCAAAGGAAATAAAAACACTAACTCAAAAAGGTATCTGTACCCCATGTTCACAGAAGCATTATTTGCAATAGCCAAAACATGGAAACAAGTGCCCATCAATGGATGAATGGATAAAGAAGTTGTGGTATATATATACAATGGACTATTATTCAGCCATATAAAATGAGGAAATTCTACCATTTGTGACAACATGGATGAAACTTTAAGGCATTATGGTAAGTGAAATCAGTCAGACAAAGCCAAATACTGTATGATCTCACTTATATTTGACATCTAAACCAAAATGAACAAAAAAACTCATAGAAAAAGAGATTATATTTGTGGTTACCAGAGGCGGGGGTTGGGGTAAGGGGGAATTGGAGGAATGTGGTCAAAAGGTACAAACTTACAGTTATTAGATAAATAAGTATTAGGGATTTAACGTATGACACAATGACTATAGTTAACACTGTTGTATGGTATTTAGGAAAGTTGTTAAGAGAGTAGATCCTAGGAGTTCTTACCACTGGAGAAAAATGTTTTTCTTTTATTTTTATTGTATCTATATGAATTGATGGATGTTAACTAAACCTACTGTGGTAATCATTTCACAATGTATGTAAATGAAACCATCATAGTGTATAGCTTAAATTTACACAGTGATATATGTCGATTATTTCTCAATAAAACTGGAAAAAAAAAAAAAGAAAAAAGAAGAATTTGCCTAGGGTCACATGGCTACTGGCATGATTCAGACCAAGGCTGACTGGCTTTAGATTCTATACTCTTTAACCATTATACAAAATTGCCTCTCAACTAAAAAGGAGAATTTTACACTTCCCTTCTTTCTCTTCCTCCTCTCATCTTCAAATTCCTCTTCCTCCTCTCATCTTCAAATTCTCACATGTGCACAAACACAGAGATGTTTATGCTGGCAAGAGTTGAGTCCTTTTGAGGGAAGCAGCTCGTGGGCCCTGACTCCTGCTATCACTACCCTAATAGTGTCTTGAGACTTTTTTCTTTTTCTCTCTCTCCCTCTGTATGAAAGCAAACAAGGAATAACACCAGAAAGTGAGAGACGGTAGTGTGGAACAGGACTCATCTCCCTAATTGAACTTTATGTCAAGGTTTTATATGACCAACGGGAAGGCCAGGGTAGGTGGCCTATTAACTTAGGCCAACGGACACAAGGGGCTCCTCCTGAAGTTAACTCATTTGTCAAGGGGTAGAGGTAGTAAAGAGTGATCACATTCTGGATATATTTTGAAGGAAAGACAAGCAGGAATTGAAAACAAATTGGTTAGAGTATGAGAAAAAGATAATAATCAAGCATGAGTGCAAAGATTTTGGCCTGAACAATCAGAGGGATGAAGTAGCCATTTGCTGATACACAGAAGCCTGTACAAGGTAGGGGTTTGGAGAGAGCGCTGCTAAATCAATTGCCTTAAAGTTCAGCTCAGAGTCTTAACCAGTAAATTAATCTGTCCCTATAGCAGAATTTAGAAAGTAGAAAAGATGAGGGTTTCTCTAATACTCCTCAAGGGTTCCTATGTTTTTTAAATGGATTACAATCTGATAGCTACTTTGAGAAAGGACCTGCCAGTGATGAAAACTCATGATGCCTGCAGAGAATTTAACATGGATCATGAAAGAACGAGGTGGCTTAAAAAATAAACTATTAGAATCTAGGAGATCACGCAATTTATTAAGGCAGTTTGCTAAAAGAGTTAATCAAAGAAGTCTTAAGGCTTGGAATTTCAATTAAAAATACAATACAATGCCAAGAAGTATGAAAATCCGAAGACTAACTTTATAAGGAAGTGTGTCAGAGACTTTTTCTAGTTCTGCACCATGGAAGCTCTATATAGTGACCACACTTGTTCTAGTACTTGGAACAGGACTTCTGGAAAGAAAAAACAAAGCAATAACAGGGACTTGTGAAGCACTTGGGAGATAAGAGAAGTGATGGTGGTGATAACTTCTGTGAGAATGTATACATTGGATGTGCCTAATCAATAGATGTATTTATGTATTTATAAAGTGTGAAAGGCTCATCAAACCTATGTCTCACTCATGCTGATTCACTTAGGGATGAATGGCACCATTAAAAGAGAAGAAGCATCACTAAATATAAGTTAGTCATGGAGAAGAAATCAGAAGAGATGGATGCATGGGCTGTAGCTTTAGAAAAGAAAGGGAGAAATAAGGAAAGAACGAATGGTAACATATCTCTGATTAATAAGATTTTGCTTTTTAGATAATGGTTTAGAATCCAAGCTCCTGGGTTCAGATGGAGTGCACTTTTTAAGAATTAGAAAGGTAGTGTTGTTAAGAGACAAGCTAACCTGACCAAGTGAACTGTGACCTGAAGACAAAGGTGAGAGAACATCCAGATAAAGCCAAAATTGACTGCTATGGAGAAAAAAAAAAAAAAAAAATATATATATATATATATATAGTTATTGCTTAATGTTCTTCATCAGGGAAAGAATTAAGGGAGCCAGATACATTATTTCTTATTGCAGAGGCCTATACACTAATTCATGAAGCATGGGCAATACATGAAGTAAAACTCAATTAAAATACACAGATTATAAAAGAGAGGTCTCACAGCTTTATGGAATGACTGTGGTTGAAATAATCCAGGCCTAGGTCCTCTTGGTTCAGTAATAAGCTAGTAGTGGGATCTTGGGCAAATCAGGTCTCCC